AAAAATTGAGCATAGAGGCATCTTTTATTCAACATTTGACCATCTCGGTCGAGCGCATGAAGCGGAATGATTGTACCTTCGCATATTTTCGTAGCCCGAACCTAAAAAGTRAAGAGCCGAGCAAATACGAAAKTGATASGCCCTAGGAGTCAGATTTTTCGGTGTTGAAAAACTTTGTACTACATGTCTAGTCTATGTGTTCTCTGGTCAGTGATATAACTTATTGCAAGCAATAATATCGAACTTCTTGATTCTATGTAAATAACGAGAAAATTCTCTAACAGGGCTTATAAGGCAATTAAAAAGAATGTGTGCAGCTCATTTGATAACATGTAGTACCAAAATGTATGTGTTAACTAAATATTTTTTAATTAAAAGGCTGCCAGCAAATTTTCAAATAGTGCAAAATGTTGATTCGTTTTCTTGCATATGCAGTATTGAAAACCAATATAAGAATATTCACCCAATTCAGTGGGGAAATTCTTAAGACTCTACATAGTTTAGGGTGAGAGGTATGCTTATATGTATTAGGGAGGAAATAAAAAATGTCATTGTCGAACGTGAAAGAGGTAAGAAATTTTAGTCAGGTCAATATTGTAAAAACATATCTACGCAATAAAATGAATATTGATATGCATACTCAATTTTAAGCGTCAAGTAAAACCTATATAGTGTAAAACTTTATAGATACGGCTTGCCATGGTTAAAAAAATGCTGTCATGACTTCTAGTTACAAAAAATATATTTAAATATCAGTCAAATCAAAGCAAAAACCATCAGCTTTTTTGTCCGATTTTTTTTTTTCATAAAATTTAAGCTTTTTTAAAAAGTATCTTCCCGCTAAAAACAGCTCAATAAAAGTTCAGTGTTGCCGATGCGCTGTTTCTTGCAGAAAATGAGCGAATAATTTTTGAAATATCAGTTGCTCGAAGGATTCAGGAAATCTCGTAGTCGAGCAGTCTCGACTAGAGAGCTCTCTTACTTGTTTTTTACAATCAATGCGATCAGTTCATTGTAATAGTCAATAACTTTTATTAGTAGCATAATAACTCATTAATGTTGGTGGAAAACTGTTACATACTGCATGGAAATATTTTTCATATCATAAATGATCGTTTGTAATTTATTTTGATAATTTTCTATTTTTTAGGCAAAGTTTATAAAGGGCAACTTACACAACCTAACAAGAAAACTGTCAATGTTGCCATCAAAGCGTTAAAAGAAAATGCGTCACTTAAAACGCAGCAAGACTTTAAACGTGAAATTGAATTAATCTCGGATCTCAAGCACCAAAATATTGTTTGTATATTAGGGGTTATTTTAAATAAAGAGCCTTACTGCATGCTCTTTGAATATATGGCAAATGGCGACTTACATGAGTTTCTAATATCGAATTCACCAATTGAAAATAAATCCTTATTACAATTGGAATTTTTAAAAATAGCAATGCAAATAAGTGAAGGAATGGAGTATCTATCAGGTCATCACTATGTACATCGAGACTTGGCAGCTAGAAACTGTTTGGTCAATGATGGGTTGATTGTGAAAATATCTGATTTTGGATTGTCGCGAGATATTTACAGCTCTGATTATTATAGGTATTAGAAATGTTCCCCTTTTTTAAATGAGGTATTAGCAATTTATTTAAAACTTTTTTGTTTTTAGAGTGCAATCAAAATCATTACTTCCAGTTCGATGGATGCCCTCTGAGTCAATTTTATACGGGAAATTCACAACTGAAAGTGATATATGGTCATTTGGCGTAGTTCTCTGGGAAATATATAGTTATGGAATGCAGGTATGCATATTAAAAGCTTATTACTCGTATAACTTTATAACTTTAAAATATTTATCATTACAGCCCTATTGTGGTTACAGTAATCCAGAGGTGATAAATTTAATTAGATCCCGCCAGTTACTATCTTGCCCAGATAATTGCCCAACTGCAGTCTATTCTCTGATGATTGAATGTTGGCATGAACAAGCTGTAAAACGTCCCACATTTTCAGATATTTCACATCGATTGAAAACGTGGTACGATGGCCATGTCAAAATCAGTTACCAAAAATCATAAATAAATTAATATACATATGTAAACTGCAAATAGGTATTATTTCAATTTTTTTTTGTTAATGCCATATCCCATTAACAAGAATTGCTCCTCCCCTTATTAACAGCATTCTGTTAAGAACATAACCCAGTTCTCCTACTGGTTCGCTGTATTTAGCGCCCCGCTGGGCACTGTTAAAAGACACAGTAGGTTGCGCAAAGAGCAGTCCCGTTACTTTTAATGTTAACTAACAGCACTCTTGTGACGTCACATTATCAGATTTTCCTATGTTGTCCAGGCTGAAGCTTGGCGGCACTTCAGCACAGATCGGCTAAGTGGTCGAAAACAACCAAAATGAAGTATATATAAGGAAATTTCAATAGC